AAGCTCGGGTTTCTCAGCTTTACAATCTTTGGATTGGTTAACAATTGGCAAACTATGAGATGTTACAGTTTAATTGGTCAGGACTGGTGGTCTTTGTTCTTAGGCTAGGGCAAAGGAAAACATCTTGCCTCTGGCCTTGAGCTGCCTGGCTATTTATACATATGTCATTTTCTTGGAGCTAGAGGACGTGCTAAAGCTTATATATGAAATGGATTCTTCTCTTTGACCCTACAAACTGTTGTGCCCTTTCTACCCCAGAGGAGCTGAGGACAAGCAGCTCAGTTGAATTCTTGCATGTCTTACCACTTTCCTGGCTCAAGCTCTGCATCCTTAGGTCTTCAGCAGTAGGATTGTCTGACCCACCCTCATATTTCCAGTTGGGATGGTCCCTGATCCTTGAGTGAGAAATCAAAGCTCAAGGGAGACGTGGTGTCTTCATGACTTGTGAAGAGGCGAAGTCACCAGCTGCACTGCACTGTCCCTCAGGACACAGCATTGAGACTTGGCTCATTGTTTAAGCCAAGGACATCAAGGAGCTATAGCCCAGATGTCAGGAGCGTGTCTGGTTCCTAGGGGTTAAACCATCATTAGGTTAATTGGAAGTTGGAGTTGTTGTTGTTAAGTACCGTGTAGACGGCTCCGACTCAGTGACCCTGCACAGGGTTTCCAAGGCTGTAAATCTCTACAGGAGCAGAAAGCCTCATCTTTCTCCCATGGAATAGCTGGTAGTTTTGAACTGCTGACCTTGAGGTTAGCAGCCCGATTCGTAACCACTACACTACCAGAGCTCCTTGAAAGTTGGAGTAGTTGCAGCTATCTGTCCAGATAAGGTCTTGAGGACAGACATACCTAGATGTGTACATGGAAACACACTTCCAAGCACTCTCTGCTCCCTTGATCTCGACTGCCACGTCCCACGGCTGCACTTGAGGCCCCCAGGAGACAGGGCTGAGGGCAGGCCAGGGATGCCAGCTGCTCCGCGCCCCACCCTCTCTCCCATGCAGCCCTAGGATGACTACAACAGGGGACCTTCAAAACATTCATAGAAAAATTCCATTACCTTTCATTTCCATTTGTCCATGAACCTTTAGAAGCCCCTGGCTTACCCTGGTGGTGCTGTAGGATAACCACTAGACTGTTAATCACAAGGTCGGCAGTTCAAACCTACCATCCTCTGCTGATGAAGAGAAAGATGAGGCTGTGTGTTCCTGTAGAGATTTACAATGATAGAGGAACCCTGTGCAGGGCTGATTCAATGGCAGTGCGTTTGGTCGCACTCCACCCACTCCTGTGCTTCGTTTTTAATACAAGCTCTGAGTTTGTGAGCGTGTCCCATTTTGCTGTATTTAGTGTGTAGCATTTCTGTTTCTTGTTTTATAGTATTCTATTGTTGTCTATCACACAACTTTGATACATTATCTTGTTGATAGGCATGTAGGTTGCTTCCAGTTTTAGACTACTATGAATAGTGCTTCTGTGAGCATTATTATACATGTCTCTTGGTACGTTTAAGCAGTGTACCAAGAGACCTGTACAGTAGTGTGCCCCTATATTGCTCTGGGGTATGTGCCTACAAGTGGCATTATGGGGTTGTAGACATGTGGCTTCACCTTCACTAAACAGTGCCAGACTATCTTACCGAGTAGGGTGACCCAGTTTTCCTTCCCACCCGCAGGGTACGAGCTTCCCACATCCATGTCTTAATCACTTGGGTTACTAATGAGGTGGGATATTTTTTGTGTGCTCATTGGCATTTGGATTTCACCTTTAATAATGGACCTGGTCCTGGGCCCATTTTTGTTCTGTGGTATCTGTCGTGCTTCCTGATTTGTGGGAACAGTTGATGTACCCTGAAAGCTAGAAATTTGTACATGCTGTATTTAAAACAGTTGTCCTAAGCAGACACTGGGACTAGAAGTAGAGCATTACACTAGATTCCTCTCCTTGTGACTGTTCTAGCATTGTACTTTCCTAGGCTGCTTAACTTGGCTGTCCTCTTCTCCCACTGAAGAGCTTGTCAGCCTGGCCTGGGCTTGTCTCTGTCACTAACTCGTGAGGGCCACCACTCATCCGTCAAAGAGGGAAAGATGGACTATTTCTGTAGCCTGTTGTTAAGTGCTGGCAAGTTGGTTCTGAACATAGTGACCCTCTATAGGGTTTCCAAGGAACAGTGGGGAGCTTGGACCACTGACCTTGTGATTCAAACCAACTTTGCTGTCCAACACAGTAACCCACAATGCCACACCAGAACTCCCATCTCTGGAGCTATAGTCATTAAAAACCTTACAAATAGAAGTAAAACATTGTATGTTTTAGTGTAGAAGATGAGCTCCTTAAAATACAACAGGGGAAGAGCTGCTTCCTTTTCAAAATAGAGTCAGTTTTAGTGACATGGATGGAGTAAAGCTTTCAGGACTTGCATTTGCTTATGAGAAGAAACCTCTGAAAACATCTATTCATAATCAGAATGTGGAAGGTATGAGGTATGAATCTAGAAAAATTGGAAGTCATAAAAAATGCAATGGAATGCTTAAGAATCGAAACCATAGGGCATTAATTAGTGAGCTAAAACAGACTGTTGTTGCTACGTGCCATCGAGTTGGTTTTAAATCATAGTGACCCTGTGTAGGGTTTCTAAGGAGTGGCCAATGAATTTGAACTGCCCTTGCAGTTCAAACCAACCTTATCGTCTAGTGCTTATCCTACAGTACCACATCAGGACTAGTACTGGCCATTTTGAATCAGACGATCATATGGGTTACTATGCTGGAATGACAACTTCAATTCCAAGACCCATCTTGAAGTACAGTGATGTTTGTGATAGGAAGCAGTCAGGGTGGCCAGTCGTTTAGTATTTTTGAAGCTGAAAGAACTGAAGAAACAATATAAGCCTCAGGTTGCAATATTGTAGGGAACCGACGTGACAGCACTTAATGACAACAACAATGGGCAAAATATTGAATGATGCCAAAAGCATCCAAAGAAGAATCACTGTACCAAAAAGAATTGGTTGATGTTCAAGCACTTCAGGAGATGCATATGAAAAACATGGCTACAGGAATTGATGGACTACAAATTGAAATATTTCAACAAACGCTGGAGCTGCTCACTCATCTATGGCAAGAAATTTTGAAGGTGGCTACCTGGTCAGCTGGTTGGAAAAGATCCCTATTTATGCCCATCCTAAAGAAAGGTAACCCAATAGAATATGAATACCATCAAACTATCATTCATATCACATGTGTATAAAATTTTGCTGGAGATATTAAAAAATAGTTGCAGCAATACACTGAGAGGGAGCTTCCAGAAATTCAAACTAGATTCAGAAGAGGATGTGAAACTAAGGATATCGTTGCTGACGGTCAGTTGAACTTAAATGAAAGCAGAGAATACCAGAAAGAAGTTTACTTGTGCTTCACTGACTATGGAAAGGCATTTGGCTTTACTGATGAAGATTAAAGACTACAGCCATCAGTGTAGATTACACCTCAATGTAAAGAAAAGAAAATCCTCAGAACCGAATGATCAATGGAGTAAATCTTGAAGTCAGAGATTTCATTTGCTTCAATTCACAATCAGTTGCTCATGAAGGCAGCTGATGTATTGCATCAGGCAAATAATCTGCTGTAAAATAATTCTGTTAAAAGAGAAAAGATGTCATTTTGGAGAAGTAAGGTACACTTGACTCAAGCCATGATATTTTCAGTCACCTCATATTTACCTGAACGTGGGATAATGAATAAGGAAGACCATAGAAGAGTCAACGCATTTGAATTGTGGTGTTGGCAAAGAATATTGAAAGTATCATGGACTTCCAGAAGTACAAACAAATCTGTCTTGGAAGAAGTACAAGCCAGAATGCTCTTTATAAGCAAATAATGGTGAGATTTCGTCTCTCATACCTTGGACATATTATCAGGAGAGACCGGTCCCTGGTAAAGTGGAGGGTCAGTGAAAAAGAGGAAGAACCTCAACGAGATGAATTGACACATGGTCTCAAACATAAGTCATTGTGAGGATGGTGCAGACTGCTTAGTGTTGTATTCTGTTCTGCATAGGGTCTCTGTGAGTTGGAATCAACTCATGGCACCTAACCACTCAGAATGGGGAGGCATTTTTGATGTTCCTAATTCTATATCTGGACTCCTTTTAAGAGATTCTAAGCTTCATAAAGGCCGGGATAATATGATACATGCTTAACTGTCTTAGTAAAGATATTCGTTATTTAATGAAATTAGTAACTTTAGCTTAAGAGACCAGTAATACTAATCGCCATCTTTTTCTGTGTGATGTATTCTCATTTACTGCTGTAGGGAAAGAGAAAACCCCAAATTTAGTTGCTCATAAGTGTGTGATTTGGGCAGGGCTTGGTGGGGATTGCTCACCTCTGTTGACACAGTTCAAGCTGGTGTGACTTAAGGTGGTGGTTGTTAAGTATTGTCGAGTTGGTTCTGACCCATAGCGACCCTGTATAGGGCTTCCAAGGAACGGCTGGTGAGTTTGAACTGCTGACCTTATTGTGCAAAAATAACTTTGCAGTTCATGGCATTAACCCACAGCACCACACCAAGAGTCTTGTGACCAAAGTAAAAGAATCTATTTCCAAAAATGGGTCAAATACATCATTGGAAATCTAATGCTGGCTGTCACTTGGGAGTTTTTCTGGATTGTCAGCCGTACCACAGGCAGGATTTAATTCTTTTTCCTGGACTGCTTGGGCTTCCTCACAACATGGCATCTGAGACCCAAGAGAGAATGTACCAATGAAGTGAAAGTTGCCTATGTGTTAGGAACAGGACTCAGAAGGTAGATTAGCATCATATCTGTTGGGTTCGATTGGGCAAAGATGTCACAGACCCCCTACCCCCACTCCCAGGCTTAAGAGGGGAGAATGCATAGACTTTTCCCTCTCAGTAGGAGGTGCTTCAACGAATTTGTGGCCATCTTTAATCCACCACATACTAACAGAAATTCCTTGCTCTCTCCCAACTTTCCTTTAGCTCTCACTGCGGCTGCAGGAAGAGGGAAGCTGGAGGTCTGTGAACTGCTGCTGGAGCATGGAGCTGTCGTATCTAGGACCAACAGGCGAGGGGTCCCACCTTTGTTTTGTGCAGCACGGCAGGGGCACTGGCAGGTACTGTGTGGGTCTGTGATTACCTCAGAAACAGTGAGTGTGGGGATAGACTTCACTACAGCCCATTTCCCCTGAGATCACAAGGGGCCAGATCTCAGATCCCTTAGCTCTGACTGTCATCTTACACATCGTGGCATCTGCTCTACCATCCATCCTACTGCATAACGGCACACATTTGACAGGAGAGCACCCAGGCAACATATAGACTGAGAAATAAGACTGGTTAGCAGACCAGTGGTGCACAGCTGATTCCTTTTAGCTTGGGAGGCCCCTGCGTGACTGGCAAGGAGAAGTGAGTGAGTGGACCCCATCATGATAACAGATTTGCTATTATCCAGCTTACTTGGAAGAAGAGCAGTTCTGTTGGAACTTCTTTGCAAGCTGAAACCTTTTTCTCTCTGACCTAGTGCTGTGATTCAGGATGGTATTCTTTTATTGTGAATGACCTGCTGCTTTTAACTGACGGTGCAGGGGTCAGTCTTTTAAAAGTAGCTATTCATTGAATCACTCATTCCTTCACTTTGTAAATAGTCCCTGGACACCTACCCCACTCCTGACACTGGGTTATCACAGGCTGTAAGCATAGATAAATGGGTCTTACAGCATCAGCTCTAGGAAGAGTTTTCTAGACAAAAGTTCCCGTAGTTGCATTGTTTCTCCCCTTTCCTCCTATCTCCGCTGATGGGAGATATAAGGGCTCCCCACCAAGATTTTGGATTTTCATTCTCCTTCCCTTTTCCAAGACCATGGTTCCAGAGAAAGGTTTGTACTATACATTTGCTGTGGCCTTGTTCATAGCTTCTACCTTGAGTCCCTGGCTAATCTCTTTCCTGTTTGCTGTTTCCTAAATCTCGGGAAGTTTGGAGAGAGAGCATTTGCTAGTGCTTATATGGCAAAAGAGTCATAGTGTGGCGCTGTGGGTTAATGAACCAGACTGCAAAGCTGTTTGAACTGCAAAGTCGGCAGTTCAAACTCACCAGCTGCTCCTTGGAAACCCTATACAGGGTCGCTATGGGTTGAAATTGACTCAAAGGCACTTAGCAACAACAACGTGGGCAAAAAGCTATGGGAATATACCCCCTTCTATTCTGGTAGTGTAGTGGTTACGAATCGGGCTGCTAACCTCAGGGTCAGCAGTTCAAAACTACCAGCTGTTCCGTGGAAGAAAGATGCTTTCTGTTCCTGTAAAGATTTACAGCCTCAGAAACCTGTACAGGGTCACTATGGGTCGGAACCAACTCCACAGCACATGACAAAAACAACATTCTTACAGGCAATGGAACACATTTTGTGATAGAAAAAAACCTGTGGACTGTCTTGGAAGAAAGCAGTTGTCATTGTTGTCATTGTTGTTAAGTGCCATCAAGTCGGTTCAAACTCTTAGTGACTCCTGTATAGGATTTTTGAGGAGTAACGTGCTGAGCAGTCCAGTGCTGATCCTACAGGGCCACACCAGGCCTCCAGTTGTCCTTGGACTGGTGATTATATGAGGTATCTCTCTGTCCCTACCCAACCCCAGTTTTAGCACTATGTTCTGTTTGAAGCATGGCCCTGAGGCTAGGAATTTCCTTAATTTAGGACACTCTGCTGAAACTGGCCAGTGTAAAGCTCAGGTCATGCACTGACTGCGCTCTGAATCCCGTTGGAACAGGTTGCTTGGGGGTACAGTACCCCATCCCATGCTCTTTGTTCTTGGTTAACTTAGCTTCAGCCTGACCCTCATCCACCCACACCCTGAGTTTGAGTCCCACGTCCCTCCAGGCGAGATACACTGTCATTGGCTTTGTTGTGGTTGCCATGCGCTCCCCAAATTCCTTCTCCTGCCAGCTGTGTCCAAATTTTGTAGACTTAGTGATGAACTAAACCCCCAAATGAAACCCACTGCCTCCTAATTGATGTAACTCACGGTGCCCCCATAGGACACAGTAGAATTGCTCCTTTGGGTGGCCAAGACTGCAGCCTCGGCTTCCTTCTGCAGAGTAGCTGATGGATTCGAACCCCCAGCCTTGTTTGTCAGCAGCCCAACATCTAACTCTTAGTAATCAGCTCTCAAAAAAAAAAAAGCAAAACTCAACACCATCGAGTCTATTCCAACTCTTAGCAACCCTGTATACGGTTCCCAAGGCTATAAATCTTTATGGGCACAGAAAGCCTCCTCATTCTCCTACAGAGCCACTGATGGGTTTGAACTGCAAACCTTGCCGTTAGCAGCAGTGCTTATCCTACCTTGCCACACTAGCACTCCACAACATAGTAGTCAACTGTGTTGTTGTTAAGTACTGTCAGGTCGGTTCTGACCCTATACAAGGTTTCAAAGGACTGGTTGGTGGATTTGAACCACCAACCTTGTGGTTAGCAGTCCAGTGCTGATTCTACAGACCCACACCAGGACTCCAGTAATCAACTAGGCATTCTAAAATAAAGAGCTGATATATGGGAAGAGATGCTGTTCAGAAGAATATAATCTAAAGGTATTACAAGCCCCCACCGTGGATTACAAAGCTGAAAGGAATTCTTAAACCAGAGGGTCTGTCTGGGTGGGCGCAGAGCACGCAGTTGGGAAGACAGTGGGAAGTGATGACTCTGAATGTTTCTTTCAGATTGTGAGGCTGCTGCTGGAATGTGGCTGTGATGTGAACTTGAGTGACAAGCAGGGACGGACGCCCCTCATGGTGGCCGCATGTGAAGGGCACTTGAGCACTGTGGAATTTCTCCTTTCAAAAGGTAGCCAGCACACAGGGCCCTGGCTGTATTTCTGTTGGATGGATGAAGAAAAGTTTTGACAGGCCCATTCAGTATTTTCTCAGTCACGTTTTAGGAATCTTTTTGTCATGGAAATTTTTGAACTTGCACAACAGTAGAGAGGTTATTAACTCTTTTACCTATTTATTACCTATCTGTCATGCTACCGCATACCTCTGACTCAGCATCAACATTGTGTTGTTGTTAGATGCTGTTGAGTCAGTTCCAGCTCATAGCAATCCTGTGTATGACTGCTCTCCGGCAGCCTCAGCCATGGCCATGTTGGACCCTGTTGCAACCAGTCCATCCATCCATCTCATTGGGGGGTGGGGGTTCCAAATTTTCAGTGATCCTCTACTTTACCAAACAAACATGATGTGCTTCTCCTCCTCCAAGGACTAGTCCCTCCTCATCCTTCTTTTTTATCAGTTGGCTTCAAATTGTACAGCACTGAATTGATACACTGTTAAAGCCAGGTATTTGTGACTCTGACATGGTTTGCTTCTTGGCTTTTTCTTAATTAGGTTTGCGGTTTGTGACCAGGCTTTTCTTTCAGGTGCTGACCTTTCTTCTCTGGACAAAGAAGGCCTGTCTGCACTAAGCTGGGCTTGTCTGAAAGGTCACAGAGCAGCGGTCCAGCATCTTGTTGAAGAAGGAGCCACAATAGACCAGACAGACAAGAACGGCCGCACCCCTTTGGACCTGGCAGCCTTCTATGGGGATGCCGAGACAGTAAGTACCAACAGATGCTCACTGTCCCCCAGCTGCGTGCCCAGAATGCACCAGGACTTGACAGTGCCCAGAGTGTGTGTCAGGCTGCGTCTAAGTGTGCTCAGTATGTACTTGTGTGTTGTGAGAGTTTACTCCTTTTCCTTTAATTCTGTGACATATACCCTGTTACAGGGCAGTAGGAAAGATTTTAGCAGAAAGTCATGACTATAAACTGCATGTGCTACTGAGACATACTTATCTGTGGCTTTATTTTCTTGTAGTAATCCATATAAATCTACTCTCTGTATAGATCATTTTAAGTCACTCTTACATGTGAGAAATAATCAAACAGTTGTCTTTCTTTGTAAGCAGTGCAGCGTTATCTGCCTGCCCACTGCTGTCGAGTTGATGCTGACTCACAGTTACCCTGTACGACAGCGAGAACTGTGCCTTAGTGCTTGCGAGACTGCCAGTCTTTATGGGAGCAAACAGTCTCAATGTTCTCCACAGTGCTGACCTTGGTGGTTACCAACCCAATGCTTAACCCACAGTACCAGTTGTCTATACATAGTATAAAATGCTTTGGGGACTGTCTGTATCTCTCAGAGAAATAGTCACTTGAGTTGTTGTTAGTTGCTGTTGAGTTGGTTGTGACTCATAGCAACCCTCTGCATAACAGAACAAAACCCTGCCTGGTCCTGCACCGTCCTCACAATTGTTGTTATGTTTGAGTCCATTGCTGCTGCTACTGGGCCAGTCAATCCCGTTGGGAGGTCTTCCTCTTTTTTACTGACACTTCACTTTACCAAGCATGATGCCCTTCTCCGGGGACTGGTCCCTCCTGATGTTGTTGCTAAGCGCCATCAAGTTGGTTCTGACTCATAGCAACCCTGTATAGAGTTTCTAAGGAGTGCTAGTAGGTTTGAGCCACCAGTCTTTTGGTTAGCAGTCCAGTGCTTATCCTACAGCACCACACCAGGACTCCCAGGTCCCTCTTGATAACATGTCCAAATAAGGATGAAGTCTGGCCATCCTGACTTCTAAGCAGCATTCTGGCTGTACTTCTCCCAATACAGATTTGTTGGTCTTCTGGCAGTCCGTGTTTAATATTCTTCTCCAACACCATAACTCAAATGCATCAGTTCTCCTGTGGTCTTCCTTATTCACCATCCAGCTTTTCACATGCCTTTGAGGCTATTGAAAATACTATAGCTTGCGTCAGGCTCACCCTAATCCCCAAACTGACAATTTTGTTCTTGAACACTTTAAAGAGATGTTGTACAGCATATTTTCCTAATGCAGTGCATCGTTTGATTTCTTGATTGCTGCGTCCATGAGTGTTAGTGGTTGATCCAAGCAAAATGAAGTCCTTGACAGCTCAATCTTTCTCCATTTACATATTATTATTTTTTGGTCCAGTGGTGAGGATTTTTGTTTTCTTTACATTGAGTTACAATTTATATTGAAGGTTGTTGTCTTTGATCTTCATCAGTAAGTATTTTCAGTCCTCTTTACTTCTAGCAAGCAAGGTTGAATCATCTGTGTATCGCAGATTGTTCATGAGTCTTCTTCCAATCCTGATGCCACATTCTTCTTCATATAATCTATCTTCTCAGATTATTTGCTCAGCATACAGATTGAATAAATATAGCAAAAAAAAAAAAAAAATACTAACAACCCTGACACACACCTTCCCCGATTTTAAACCAATCAGTATCTCCTTGTTCTGGTCTAACAACTGCCTCTTGGTCTATGTACAGGTTCCTCATAAGCACAGTTTAAGTGCTCTGGAAATCCCATTCTTCACCATTTTATCCATAGCTTGTCATGATACACACAGTGGAAAGCCTTTAATTAGTCGGTAGAGTTAGCATTGTTTTATAGTTTGTAAGTCTAATATGTAGAACAGCTGAAGAAGCAAATACTGTGCTTGCTGGAAGCTTTGCCCCTTGACAGACCTGTTGCCTACACTTCTGTTCCCTGGTAAAAGGCAGTTTAATGGTGCTCCTTTGTACTTCATGTCCATTTGCAGAAACAGATGTTTAATTCAGATCTCACATATACACAAATTTTTATTTTCCTGCTTATACCAAATCCCATAGTTTGTCAATATTAGGGAAAAGTGAAGGAATCTAGCTTTCTGCTATCACTTAGGAATTGCTGATGGACTAATAGAAAGCATGTCCTACCTTATGCATATACAAACTTACTGTGTCTGCAGGTAGAGTGAAAACTAAGTGCTCAACAAGGTCATTGTCCAGGGGACAGCTAGCCATCCTCACAGTCCCAGTATTCAGGGGTGGTTTTGTTAGGTTTTTTTTTTTTTTTTTTTTGTAAGCTTGGGAAATGAATTACGTTCACTTCCTTCTGGTCCAAGCCGCTAATCTCTGGTTCCGCTTGCTCTGCCCAGTCTTTATTGATCTGAGTGTTTCTGAAGTGCCCAATCTCCTGCCAATACATTGGGGCCTTTTACAGAATCTACCACCTAATTGACTGGAGATGAATAGATGACTTTTCTCATCTCTGTGGCCTTGGTATTGATGGAGAGACAGACAGATGGACAGGTCCGGCAGGTGTGCATACCCACACCGTGGCACGTGAGTGCTGAGAGCCTGCCTGCCTTCCTCTGTTTTGTCTCAGACTCCGTAACACAGTGGGGTTTAGCTATGGGACACAGCTCTTCCCTGTGTCATGTCAACTTAATTTCCATTCCAGCATCACCCGTGGCTGCAGGAGGAGAGCTGGCCAGCAGCCCTTGGATGGGAGGCTGAGGTGGGCCCCAGCTATGCTCCTGCCCAAGCTGCTCCTCAGGCCTCTGTCTTCCCTGTAGGTGCTGTACCTGGTGGAGAAGGGCGCTGTGATTGAACACGTGGACCACAGCGGCATGCGGCCTCTGGACAGAGCCATTGGCTGTCGAAACACATCTGTAGTGGTAGCACTGCTGAGAAAAGGAGCCAAATTAGGTCAGTGAATGTCACCTTTGTTCAGTGGGGTATGACGTTAGCTTTAGATTTTTCAGTATACTAGAGAGCTAAACACTTACCTGCCCCAGATTAAGAAGCAAATGTCAGCTGTTTGAATTTATTTTTTCTTTCTTTCTCAGGCTCATTTAACCTCCAAACCAAAAAAACCCATTGCTATTGAGTAGATTTCAAGTCATTAGCAACCCTGTAGGACAGGGTAGAACTGCCCTTTTCATTTTCCGAGACTATAAATCTTTACAGGAGCTAACAGCCTCATATTTCTCCTCAGGGACAGCTGGTGGGTTTGAACTGCTGACATTGTGGTTATGATCTCAGTGTGTAACCTTGTATGTTATTACGGCTGCTTAGTTTGCCACCGCCAATTTACCTGTTTTCATGACTCATAGTATTAATGGCAGTGTGAGTAGAGCCAGTCACCAGCTGCTATCAAGTCCATTCCACCTCATGGCCACCCCATGTGTGTTGCCATAGAACTTTGTTCCACAGGATTTTCAATAACTGTTTCGTGTATGTGTGTGTGTTTGTTTTTTTTGTAAATAGTTCATCAAGCCTTTCTTCCAAGGTGCCTCTGTGTTGGCTAAAACTGCCAGCCTTTTGGTTAGCAGCCAAGTACACTGACAGTTCCTAGGGTTTCCATCTGGGTAGAAAGCATAGGCTAATGTTGAAGAGAGTCTAGAGTTTCAAGGTGTTAGGAAGGCCCAGATACACACCCCAGAGAAATTAAACTAATCTCTGTGGGGTTGGGACCCAAGCATCAGTTGTTTTTAAAGCTTATGAGGTGATTCTAATGAACCCCTAAGGTTGAAATCCACTGTCTAGAGTAATCTTTCCAAGCTGGGTAGGCAAATATCCGCCCCAGCAGTTTACTGAAATATGTGATTTTACAAGATGGTATTACTTGAAGGTAATACATGTGTGGGTTTTGAGTATGGAGACTCTCCTTCTGTATGACTGGTTAAAGCATAAAACACTACTCAGAATGTGTTGAACTTTGAAATACAAGACATTTGACCAACAGTGGTTCTGGGAAAGAAAGTAGGATGAAGAGGATGATATCAGATCATCCTTTATAATGTGTGAAACTATTTTGATCATTTTCACATCTCAGCTTCTTTGATGCTGTTCCCACCCCTGAAAGTAGTAGTGTTGATAATGTATTTTACAGATAATGGAAGTTAAATGCTTTCCCCATCTTCATGAAGTTAGTACGTGACAGAGTTTTAGCCAGAGCAGCTTGGCTTCTGAATCCAGGTCTTAATCATTATCCACGTGGTGTCCCAGATGAAGAGGTCAGGATGTAGGCTGAACAAGGACATGAACATAGATGTGAGGAGGAAGCCTAGAGCCTGAAAAGTGGGAAGAAAGCAGAAGGACTAGAGCTGAGAAATCTCAAGGGTAGATTTTTAATGGTAGAATGCAAGAAGATACTAAGAACACAGAACTCGTTAGCTATCTGTGGAGATGGGTACTACCAGAAGTTAATGAGACGATCCTGAAGTTGGATTTAAATGATTCCTCCCAGAACCCCTATCAGCAGGGATGGGTCATGACTGCTGTGATGCCTTAGGCTCCCAAGACTTTTCACTTGAAGGACAGCCCTGAATCTATGCCAGACACTGTTCCCTTCCTAAGTGTCTGGTTCAGCATAAGACGGATGAGAAACTAAACCTTCTCACAGGTGTCCTGCCCCTTTGCCCCCCATTATACTTTCTGGAAACTAGAGAACTGCAAAAACTATGGTTGCCTCCAGCTGGGCTACCTCCTGTTTGTGATGGTTAGCGTGGGTGGTGCCCCAGGAGAATGGAACACCTTCCTACCAAGACCACTGAAGTACCCCAATGCATGTTTGTTTTGCAGGAAATGCTGCTTGGGCAATGGCTACTTCCAAACCTGATATTTTGATTATACTTTTACAAAAATTAATGGAAGAAGGAAATGTGATGTACAAAGTAAGTGGTTTCATTCTTTTCTTTGGCTCTGTCTGACCACAGCAGAGTGTTAGCATGGCATACACAAGACACAGCTGCTGCACAGAGCTACATGTTCCTTAATTTTCAGAGAAGTTTCAGGAGATGCTAACCTGGCCTCTGGCCGGGGTTATTTGCTATCATACTGGCAGAATTATAAAGGTAAAAAGCACTTCTCTTTGTTTGAGGACCATTAGTTCTGACAGAATCCTTGAGGCTGTAATTGTGGCCTAATGAATGAAGCCCATGTCATCAGGGCTAAGTCGCCTCTAGTTTAATTGGTGTATCATGTGGACTTCTTAGTTTTTCATGTTCCCTCTGACGACATTCAGAGGACAGCTCTGTGGCATGTGGTGATAAGACACCTGGGAAAGAGAACACCCAGGAGGTGTTTCCAGAAGCAAAAAACAAGTCTTCATTGTTATTTTTAATATTTGTGAACGTCTGACATGTTTTCACATAGTTGTCATGTGCAATACTCGGTTTATTTAGGAGACTGAGCTAGTCCTGCTTTTATTTCTTTCATTTTCCTTGGGAAATGGGATTATGATTTTTTTTTTTTTAACATACCAATAAAACTGACTAAATTTTCCAAAACTAGACATCACTTAGATCAGGGGTCAGCAGACTTTCTGCGAACGACCTGATAGTAAATATCTTAGGCACAGAGTCAGTCACAACTGCTCAGCCCTGCCACTGTAGCACAAAAGCAGCCATAGATAGTAATACCCATGTCCATGAATGGGTGTGGCGATGCGCCAGGGAGACGTTGTTGATTAAAACAGCCAGTGGGCCATATGTGACCTGTGCTGTGGGTCATAGTCTGTCACAGTCCTTCCAGGTCAGTGGTTAGACAGAATTTAAACTCCATTACATGAGGGAAACCCCAAAACGAAATGTTGACCACTTGAGTCCTTTTTTTCTGTGAAGCTGCTTAACCTGCTTTCTTTAGGCCCTCCCCTCCTTTTTCCTTTTCTTTTTTAATAACAAATAAATAGGCATATAGCATGACTCAGTAGGGCTCCTGGTTGGGAATCAGTTTGAAATTGAGTACAGAATGCATGTTGTTGTGTCTTTGAAGTGGTTTAATATGAATTTTGGTAGGCAATTATGTCAGAAATATCAAGCCATTTTCAACAGAATTCCTTCCTGCTGTGAGAGAGAACTGACTGAGCAAATGGATTTCTTTAGCCTTGAAAATGGCATGTGGTGCTGTTCTGATTTTTAGAGCCAGCACTTTAGGTCCTCTTAAAAGAAAAATCATTTTTCTTCAGCAAGCTCTAGGTTTATCCACAAGACTCTACTTGTCTTAGGAACGGCATCCTTTTTAAATCTGATTTCTGTTACACTTAGCATTAAATTATCTTTAGATGAGTGCTTACTCATAAAATAATTTTCAAAAATATAGAACCTCTTAGAGAGGATAAATTGATCCATTCACATGGAAAACTACTGGCTTGGCAGTGTACAGACAGATGTGTCTCCCTAAAGCAATCCCACTTGTTCCTGTGTGTAACCATATGAGGACAGTGGTGCTGAATGTGGTCAGACTGGTTAGTGTACAGTTCCTGGGTTGGCATTTATTCATTTGGATACATTCCATATGCTGTAATGGCTTTGTGGTGGGCAGAGGACACCCTCCCAGGCTTCTCAGGGCATGGAAGCCTACTCATCCTATTGTTGTGAAATGTCATTGAGTTAGTTCCAATTTATAGCCACCCTGTATAGAGTTTACAAGGAGTGGCTGGTGGGTTTGAACTACCAACTCTAAAAGTTAGCAGTCCAAATCTTTACAGTGAGGATCAATCCCACCCCCTCAATATACAGGGTAGACAGAGATGGGCAACTTGGACATTGGCTACCCAAAATGGGGGCTACAAAGGCAAGAAGCCATTGGCTTACAAGCTTTCAAGAGGGAACCTAGATCCAGAGGGCATGGAGAAAGGTAGAATCTCTTCTGAGTAGTATCCAATCTATCTTGTCGGGGCTGATGAAAGGAGATGGGGATAGCACTCATGTGGCACAATAGTGAATAATTACTATTGGGACTGACTGCGAGGGCTGGACGTGTAAAGGCAGACATTTTGTAGCAAAAGGAGGGGAGTGGTTGACTCTGCAGTCCAGGAGCGGAGGTCCCTGGGACCATCATGGGAGAAGATCAGAGAGTGCGGGACCCTATCCAGAGAAGCAGTGACACCAGAGATGGAGGCAGAGATGATGACGTGGAGAGATGGAACGGCTGGGGACTTTAGATCCAGAGAGGGAGAGGGGCTGTGTGCTGACGGCCAGGGGTCAGGTTTGCCGGTATACCCTTTGGTGGGTTGATGATGCACGGAGGGGATTGTGACCATGGCAATAAAATTATATACGATAGGATGAATGTAAAGCTAATGTTCTCTCATGTAAGCTATCACATAATTCACAATCAACCATTTATATATTAAAAAAAAGCAGTCCAGTGCTAAGCCCACAACACTGCACCAAGACTCTTTACTCATCCCAGAGCCTCTGAAAAAAGGATGTTTGATTTTTAAATCTTAGAAAGGGAAGATGAAAGAAGCCACCCAGAGGTACCAGTATGCCTTAAGGAAGTTTCCTCGAGAAGGATTCGGAGAGGACATGAGACCATTCAATGAATTAAGAGTTTCCCTCTATCTTAATTTGTCTCGCTGCCGAAGAAAAACAAACGTAAGCAGTGCTCTGTCATTTTATTTCCAGTCTGTTAGCAATAGAATGCTTTCTCAGTGGTCGGTGCCAGCCGTCCACACACCAAATCTTGTGACCCCTTATCTGTGTTGTTTGTACATTTATATGAGCGTGGCACATGGGAAGTGGCTTCGCTTGGATGAGTGTCGTTCCATGACTGTCCACTCCCCCGTCAAGATGCTGAATGAATGTGCTTGCCTCAGTGTCTGCCTTGCCTCGGTGATGAAAAGCAGATTGTTTCTCTACCTCTTCCTAATCGGATATTGCCAGCATTGTCATGAGATGCCTCTTCCCAGAGTCAGAAGGCAAGGGCATCATAAAGCTCAGCACAGATGTCTGTCCACCTGTCCTGTGTCTGCTCAGCGGATATGCCATTAACTAGTTACTGTAGGTGCTGCAGACTCCTATCTTCTTCCCTCTCTTCCTTTCGTCTCTCCTCTCCACTTCCTCCACGTCCTCTTACTTCATCCTCCCACCACCCAATCATTGATCTGCCGGCATTGTCCCGCATAGCCTGCCTTCCTGTGGTATTCTCTGAGATTCATCCTCACGGTGGGCTGCCTTCTGCCGCCTCTTGCATTCTTGTGGCTTGCTTTGATCATTGTCCTTCTTTTTTCTCCTGAATCACCCAGTATTGATTCTTCACTAGATCCTTCTCTTAAAAATCTTAACAGAACGCAATTATCGCTAAACTTGAAACAAAAACTCTTGAAATACTGAACTTGCCCCTTAATCCCTCTCCAGTTACATCCCAAGTGTCTACTACCTTTAGAACAAAATTCCTGTTAAAGAGCTATCTATAATCAGGTTTCAGTGTTTATTTTAACTCATGTATTTCAATATCAACACCAGGACTTTGGCATGGCAGAAGAATTTGCTTCCAAGGCTCTTGAATTGAAACCCAAGTCCTATGAAGCCTTTTATGCCAGGGCAAGAGCTAAGAGAAACAGCAGGTATGTGATAACTGTTCCTCTTCCCCACTCTAAGTCGGGACGTATTGCAACAGGAAGTGCCTGCATTACTCTGTGTTATTAGTGAAACTGCCAGCTAGAGCCATTCAGAGAAGTGGGATGGGGAGGGGGGAGAGGAAATAGTTGTATAAGAATCTTTAGCTAAAGGTACATGTTGCCAGGGGACGGTGAAGATAACAGAAGGAGGATTCAGAGGTCCAGTCGTACAAGCACATACAGAGCCCCGTGCTCTCTTTAAGGAGCAGCAAGGATCAGAGCCAAGTTACGCAGATCTGGGTTAGAATTTAGACTGACACTTAGCTGAAGGACTCTAGTTAAATGGGTCCTGGCTTTCCGCTACCTTTTCTTTCCTTTTAGCACAGTTATTTTATGAACAGTTATAACCAGAGCATGTCCATACATGGCTTGTAATTATTCTTTGTTTTAATATAAAGGCAGTTTGCGGCTGCTCTGGCTGACCTGCGGGAAGCTGTGAAACTCTGTCCCACCAATCAGGAAATCAAGAGGCTTCTGGCCCGTGTAGAAGAGGAATGCAAGCAACTCCCGAGGAGCCAGCAGCTCAAGCCGCAGTGCCCACCACCAGCCCTGCCCACTGATTCAGAGAATGAAGAGGACACCTCAGTCTCCGGATTAGATGATCACTTTCAGCTAGAAGAGGCCGAAGAGGACGTAATTTGTCCACAGGAAGAAGCCATTTCCCTGACTCCAAGGCCTCAGCCGTCCCCATCAGCCCCTTCCCCATATATCCGAAACCTTCAGGAAGGCCTACAGTCTAGAATAAGGCCAGCATCACCACAGAATAGGTCAGGACCCAGCAAGCCCCCAAGGGAGCCTGGAGCCCAGCCAGGGTTGGTTACACAGCCCACCAAGCAGGCACAGATAGTGAAAACCAGCCAGCACCTGGGTTCTGGACAGTCTGGCGTGAGAAACGGTGGCACAAAAATTCAGGTCTCTCCTCAGAATCCTCCCCCGAGTCCCATGCCAAGTAGAATCTCTGTCACTTCTGCTGGAAACCGAAACCAGCATTTGGAGGGAACAGGTACTTGTGCCCCGGGAGCTAGCACTGGCCCTTTTGGAGACCGGCTAGGTCCTGGTCACAATGTCCAGCTGCAGCGCAGTGACAGTGGCACCGCGTACCCTTTGCCAAGCAAGATAAAAACGGCAGAGAGACTTCTGTTGCATGCCTCTGTGGCCATGGATGTACCCCCTCCAAACCAAGGTGGGCCAGTTAGCTGCAGTGACACACGACACCCAGCTTCCCTCGCAAGCTCCATCTCTTCAGGTTCTCCATCTAGCAGCATAAAGATGTCAAGTTCAACCAGTAGTTTGACATCAAGCAGCAGCTTTTCAGATGGCTTCAAGGTTCAGGGACCAGATGCTCGAGTGAAAGACAAGGCTGTTAACCAGGTTCAGAGCGGTACAGGTGAGCACAGACCACGCAGTACTCCTTTCATGGGCATCATGGATAAGACGGCAAGGTTCCAGCAGCAAAGCAATCCTCCCAACCGCACCTGGCACTGTCAGGTCGCAGAGGGGCTACTGACAAACACATCTTCTGCAGCTGGTCTGCAGCCCTCAAACTCTGAGAAGCCCTCTTTCAAACCAGGAGGAGGATATAACAGCCAAGCCAAAATCAGTTCTGTTTCTACCCTGGGTGGAAGTGTCCACAATGGGGCACAGATGAAGGAACTAGATGAAAAGAAGTGCCAAATTCCAGCTCACTGTCCTGAGAGCAGGGCCAATAAGACTGTTTCTCATCCATATCAGGAAGGCATCTCCAGACAACAGCCTCACAGCAGCAGTGAAGCCCACAGGAGTCACCTCACGTCAGCGAAACCAAAGCGATCATTCATAGAGTCAAATGTGTGAGCCTTAACAGAGACCTATTTACCACATTTGGAAAACAGTGTGTTGGCTCCTGGTGGTAAATCATCACTAAATTTTTTTGTGTGTTTTTTTTTTTTTTTTAAATCAGGAAAATGATTTTTAGCCATATTTTTTCCCCCTTTGTGGGCTGGGAATCTGATGCCATTGATATTGTGAAAACTTGGGATAAGTGTCTTTAATAATAAATAGCTCCAAGTCACCATTCATGAGAACGCTGACCAGAATGATACAAATTATTATCAAGTACAGTTAACTAGCTATGCCTATCAAGTTAAAAATTAAAGAAAGCCAAGAAGATATTAACGCATGCTTTTCTCTTAAGAAACGATTTGGTTTTTATCACTTTCTCTTCACTTTGCTGTTTGGTAAAACTCACAATATTTACTTAGAGAATATAAATGTCTGTTGCTAAAGAATGATACGTTTCACTATAATATCCAAATGATACATTCTGGAAAAGGTCGAAATTTCAGGTTATAGTTCCATTGAGTCAAAAAAAGCAATTAAATATAAATACATATTTTGAATTAAGACCTGGTTTCTAGGTGAATATAGGTGTGACTATGAAAGTAATATAGCTCTGTTTTGTTTTGTTTTGAATTTCTAAAGCAAAATACAGAAACCCCCCAAATATTATTCCCTCCCGTAGCAGTTCTCCTATGTGGACTAAACACTTATTTCAGTGTTAAGGTTCTTATTCAAAATATTTTTATAGCACCTTTTATGAAGTACATTCATCCTTCAAGGTGTTTTGGATCATTGGAAATAGGATAAGACATTTGGAATCAAGATTAGTGGTCAGGTTGGATCTGTGCCCAAATACTAAGAGCAGCATTTCTTAATGGCACCTGTAAGTTAGTTGTCAACTGGTTCCAAACTCGCTTTTTGTAGTAACACTCCTGGAACAAGACTTCCAAGGTCTTTAAGGATGGTATTTTATTCGGATACTTTAGGGCTGGTTGGTTGTTGCTTTGGTTTTGTTGTATAATCTCATGACTTTGTAGCCACATGTTGTACATATTAAATAATCAAGTTTTTTTCCCAACTTGTAAATATTACTGTTTCAAACTAGTTAATCTTAAAAGAAAAATCATCATATATTTGCATGTTGTTTGTAAGCTTCATCCATCAGGTTATTGCACTGAATGACACATTATTATGGCATGTTAACAGTATACCAGTAACGGCACTTTATTGCTTTTATATGAACACCTCTGAGGTGCAGCATAAGTCCAAACTGATGTATTATTATTCACTTGTAAAGATAAGGTACAGGAATGAACCTTGGTTTAAAGGTATTTTTATATGAAACTGGTTTGTTATTGGAGAATGTTAAGATGCTAGTTTAAGAGAGATGGGAGTGTACTTGTTTTATATGTTGGGATGTGAGATTTATTTTCTAGAATTGTGGAGAAGGAAGTTCTATATTTACAGACTGTTTTAAAAATGAGTCGTCATAATGCAGCTCCTGGGAGCACCCTTAGTGTTTTGTATGAATAGTAATTTTCTGGTGTCATTCTTCAACATTTGTTCCTGTGTACAGAGTACTTTGTACAAATAGCTTTATCATTTTTTATAAGTTTTTAATGAGTTCTACATATAACTATTATGGCTTATTTATTATTTTCTTTAGTATTTGTGAAAGTCTTATTCTTTGACGTAGTTTTGTTTCTGCACAACTACTGTACTTTTCCATATGGAATAAAGACTATTAATAGAACTCATTTTGCATTAAATAAAACAATGGGTAAAATAGAGAATATTGGTATACAACTATCTGTTTTGCTTGAATTCTAGGTGATCCTGTTAGCCTAAATACTGAAATGCATTATTTTTGTAACAATAATACTACCATAGGCATAGCATATTTCATTTTATTATATAATAATTTCAGAATAAGGGTGACAGTATCTAGAAATTCCAAAATATTCAAGGGTCAGAATTAGTCTTTTTGTCTAAAACAAGTTATTCATGAGGGAAAATAATATTTAATACCATATAGTTTTCCTTTATCTGTTCAAATACATTTTAGAGTCTGTTTTTTTACAACTCTCCATTTTGGCAATATGCCCAACTGTGTATATGACAGGTTATTCTCTAGGCATCCTGGTGTGGCGCTGTGGGTTAATATACCAGACTGCAAAGCCATTTGAACTGCAAGGTTGGTGGTTCAAATTCACCAGCAGCTGCTCCTCGGAAACCCTATACAGGGTCACTATGGTTCGGAATCGACTTGACAGCACCTCACAACAACAACATTCTCTAGCAGATTTATGTTCAAGCTGAAAGTGTTTGTCTCTATATACACATAATTCAAAGACTTGCACTTGGTGCCTAATGTAAAGATGGGCACTTTGAACCCAGCCAGCAGCGCTACGGTGTGAACGCCTGGCAGGTCTGCCTTTGTAAAGGGGCGCACTATATGCTCTGTCACACGTGGGTTTGCCACGAGTCAGAATCAAGTCAGCAGTAGTGGGATTTTTGTTTTTTAAATTAGGAAAATAAGAAGCTACATTATATTGTAATAAAAATATGATTTAGAACCTTAGGCCTAAGTGTAGTCCTTGATACTAAAAACAAAACAAAAAACTTGGCTCATCCAGACTCAAAACTGCCCCACCGGGCTTCTAAGGTTGTAACCTTTACAGACGCAGACTCTCACAGCTTTCTCCTGGGGAGCAGCTGGTGGGTTTGAACTTCGTACTTTTTGGTTGGCAGCTGGGCACTAAACCATTATATCACCAGATATCTTTTTCCCTGATATTCCTTCAGGTTATTGCTGCTTCAATCCTTCTTTAAGGTATGTATTTAAATTAAATGGTAAAATCTTTTCTCTTTTTTTTTTTTTTTTTTTAACTTGGCAGGAAAGAAAAAAATGGTGGCTAATAGGTAATTCTTGTCATTGGATGACTTTTCCTCAAATGCAACTAGTGTGACTTTTACTACTGTGTGCTAAATTATTTTGATATATTCTCAGTAAAGGTAAGATATATATATTTTTAATCTTGTTAACAATTTTGTTTGGAGATTTTTGTGGTAGGTGTGCTTTCTCCTTTCTGCTCGAAGTTTGTAAAACATAGGAAAATACTGACTAAATAATATGAATATGTACATTTATAGTTCCCTCTAATTTCTAAGGAAGTTAACAATAAGGAGGACCTTCAGTGAGATGAACTGGCAAAGTTGCAGCATCAGTGTGCTCAAGCGTGACAGCAATTGTGAGGTTGACCCAGGACCAGGCAGTGTTTTTTTGTTGTTGTTGTGCATAGGGTCGCCATGAGTCAGTACTGACGATTTGGAGTCCTGATGTGGCGCTGTGGATTAATGCTCTGGACTGCAAGATGACTTTGAACCACAAGGTCAGTGGTTTAAGCTCAGCAGCCGCTCTTCAATCCTATACAAGGTCACTATGAGTTGGTACTAACTCAACAGCACTAACAACAACATTTGGGTTTATTTGTTAAGTGCTGTTGAGTCAGTTCCAACCCATAGTGACCCTGTATAGGGTTTCCAAGGAATGACTGATGAGCTTGAATCGCCGACCTTGTGGTTCAAACTGACTTTGCAGAGCAGCGCATTAACCCACAGTGCCACATGACACATATTCAACAAATGTGCTATCACCCATTCTGTGCTAGAAGGTGCATTAGACCATGGATGACCCAGATACTGTGAGGTTTGGTTCCTTTAGTTCTAACAAGCTATTACACTAATAGCATCTGCTTTGGTAAACAAATTACTGGTAGGAGGAGGAGAGAGAGAGTGTGTTAGCAATCTGTAGCACCTCAGTTTCCTGTCCTTGACTTTTTTTTCAAGTGACTGTTTGTCAGGATGCTGTATTAGGCTACTGTATGTGAATGTCTGTGTGCACAGTCTCCAGCTTTGGATAACAGGGTGAGAACTTTAAGACTTCTAAAGGGAGCAAAGTCAGCCTGACTTTTTCATGGTCATTTATTCCAGCTAACTTGTACCTAGACTTGTTATTGCTATTCATAGCAACCCTGTCTCTATAATTATTTTGTTACAAATTAAATTTTCTTGAGAAGGATTCCAAGGAGTTAGGAAATGACTTCACTACATGTCTGTTACATGGTAAGACCATTACAATCTTTGGTTGTCATGGGACATGACATGTCAAATGAGAATAAGCTTGGGCACTACAATCTAAAGTCCAAGTAAAACTTTATTTCTATATTTGTATACAACTTAAGAATTTTTTACAAGTACAAAAAAAGGCTTTTATAAAATACAATTTAGTCCATATATTTTAAAGAATGAAAATTGATAGTAACTTGCACAGTTAACTAAACTGAAGAAAATTTCCTTTCTCCTCTTGTGTCTTAATAATGTCTAATACTTACCTTTAAATTGTTCAAATGAAATCATGGAAAAATACAAACACTATATACAGTGTAGTAGAAACACAATTTTATTTTTGATTTGTCTCCAGCCATCGGTTGATAGCCATTTTCAGGGTCCTGTTTGGTGTCAGTACCATTGAAGGGAGAATAAGGTTTGTCATGGGGCTTGTGCGTTTCTTTTTACCAATCCAGTTTTCAATTGCTTCTTTTTCATATGAATAGCCATCTAAAACAACAACAACAAAAAAACAACAACGAACACCATTGTAAGATGTAAGAAAGAAAAGTTAGGGTTACTAAAATAAGATGAGTATAAAAATTTCATTGTCAAGGCCTTCATTGTGTTTTAAGAGGTACTCTTGTTAAAAAACTAAAAAACCAACCACTGCTGTTAAGTTGATTCCCATTCATAGCTACCCACAGGGCAGAGTAAAACTTCACAGGGTTTCCAAACTGTAAATCTGTTTGGAAGCTGATTACCACATCTTTCTTCCTCAGAACGGCTGGTGAGGTCAAACCACTGACTTTTGGGTTAGCAACCAGCCTTTCTGGTTAGCAACTGGGCATTTTATCAGCCCTCCTCTTGTCCAAGGGAGAAAGATGAGGCTTTATCTACTCCTG